AAATGTCAAAGAACGTCATAGTATAGTAAGGCATAAAAATTGGAAAAAATGTCATAGTGTAGTAAGGCATAAAACGTCATAGTATAGTAAGGCATAAAAATGTTACAGTATAGTAAGGCATAAAATATCAAAAAATGTGATAGTATAGTAAGGCATAAAAATGTCAAAGAACGTCATAGTATAGTAAGGCATAAAAATTGGAAAAAATGTCATAGTGTAGTAAGGCATAAAACGTCATAGTATAGTAAGGCATAAAAATGTTACAGTATAGTAAGGCATAAAATATCAAAAAATGTGATAGTATAGTAAGGCATAAAAATGTCAAAGAACGTCATAGTATAGTAAGGCATAAAAATTGGAAAAAATGTCATAGTGTAGTAAGGCATAAAACGTCATAGTATAGTAAGGCATAAAAATGTTACAGTATAGTAAGGCATAAAATATCAAAAAATGTGATAGTATAGTAAGGCATAAAAATGTCAAAGAACGTCATAGTATAGTAAGGCATAAAAATTGGAAAAAATGTCATAGTGTAGTAAGGCATAAAACGTCATAGTATAGTAAGGCATAAAAATGTTACAGTATAGTAAGGCATAAAATATCAAAAAATGTGATAGTATAGTAAGGCATAAAAATGTCAAAGAACGTCATAGTATAGTAAGGCATAAAAATTGGAAAAAATGTCATAGTGTAGTAAGGCATAAAACGTCATAGTATAGTAAGGCATAAAAATGTTACAGTATAGTAAGGCATAAAATATCAAAAAATGTGATAGTATAGTAAGGCATAAAAATGTCAAAGAACGTCATAGTATAGTAAGGCATAAAAATTGGAAAAAATGTCATAGTGTAGTAAGGCATAAAACGTCATAGTATAGTAAGGCATAAAAATGTTACAGTATAGTAAGGCATAAAATATCAAAAAATGTGATAGTATAGTAAGGCATAAAAATGTCAAAGAACGTCATAGTATAGTAAGGCATAAAAATTGGAAAAAATGTCATAGTGTAGTAAGGCATAAAACGTCATAGTATAGTAAGGCATAAAAATGTTACAGTATAGTAAGGCATAAAATATCAAAAAATGTGATAGTATAGTAAGGCATAAAAATGTCAAAGAACGTCATAGTATAGTAAGGCATAAAAATTGGAAAAAATGTCATAGTGTAGTAAGGCATAAAACGTCATAGTATAGTAAGGCATAAAAATGTTACAGTATAGTAAGGCATAAAATATCAAAAAATGTGATAGTATAGTAAGGCATAAAAATGTCAAAGAACGTCATAGTATAGTAAGGCATAAAAATTGGAAAAAATGTCATAGTGTAGTAAGGCATAAAACGTCATAGTATAGTAAGGCATAAAAATGTTACAGTATAGTAAGGCATAAAATATCAAAAAATGTGATAGTATAGTAAGGCATAAAAATGTCAAAGAACGTCATAGTATAGTAAGGCATAAAAATTGGAAAAAATGTCATAGTGTAGTAAGGCATAAAACGTCATAGTATAGTAAGGCATAAAAATGTTACAGTATAGTAAGGCATAAAATATCAAAAAATGTGATAGTATAGTAAGGCATAAAAATGTCAAAGAACGTCATAGTATAGTAAGGCATAAAAATTGGAAAAAATGTCATAGTGTAGTAAGGCATAAAACGTCATAGTATAGTAAGGCATAAAAATGTTACAGTATAGTAAGGCATAAAATATCAAAAAATGTGATAGTATAGTAAGGCATAAAAATGTCAAAGAACGTCATAGTATAGTAAGGCATAAAAATTGGAAAAAATGTCATAGTGTAGTAAGGCATAAAACGTCATAGTATAGTAAGGCATAAAAATGTTACAGTATAGTAAGGCATAAAATATCAAAAAATGTGATAGTATAGTAAGGCATAAAAATGTCAAAGAACGTCATAGTATAGTAAGGCATAAAAATTGGAAAAAATGTCATAGTGTAGTAAGGCATAAAACGTCATAGTATAGTAAGGCATAAAAATGTTACAGTATAGTAAGGCATAAAATATCAAAAAATGTGATAGTATAGTAAGGCATAAAAATGTCAAAGAACGTCATAGTATAGTAAGGCATAAAAATTGGAAAAAATGTCATAGTGTAGTAAGGCATAAAACGTCATAGTATAGTAAGGCATAAAAATGTTACAGTATAGTAAGGCATAAAATATCAAAAAATGTGATAGTATAGTAAGGCATAAAAATGTCAAAGAACGTCATAGTATAGTAAGGCATAAAAATTGGAAAAAATGTCATAGTGTAGTAAGGCATAAAACGTCATAGTATAGTAAGGTCTAAAAATGTGAAAAAACAGTATAGTAAGGCATAAAATATCAAAAAATGTGATAGTATAGTAAGGCATAAAAATGTCAAAGAACGTCATAGTATAGTAAGGCATAAAAATGTCATAGTATAGTAAGGCATAAAAACGTCATAGTATAGTAAGGCATAAAACGTCATAGTATAGTAAGGCATAAAACGTCATAGTATAGTAAGGCATAAAACGTCATAGTATAGTAAGGCATAAAACGTCATAGTATAGTAAGGCATAAAACGTCATAGTATAGTAAGGCATAAAACGTCATAGTATAGTAAGGCATAAAACGTCATAGTATAGTAAGGCATAAAACGTCATAGTATAGTAAGGCATAAAACGTCATAGTATAGTAAGGCATAAAACGTCATAGTATAGTAAGGCATAAAACGTCATAGTATAGTAAGGCATAAAACGTCATAGTATAGTAAGGCATAAAACGTCATAGTATAGTAAGGCATAAAACGTCATAGTATAGTAAGGCATAAAACGTCATAGTATAGTAAGGCATAAAACGTCATAGTATAGTAAGGCATAAAACGTCATAGTATAGTAAGGCATAAAACGTCATAGTATAGTAAGGCATAAAACGTCATAGTATAGTAAGGCATAAAACGTCATAGTATAGTAAGGCATAAAACGTCATAGTATAGTAAGGCATAAAACGTCATAGTATAGTAAGGCATAAAACGTCATAGTATAGTAAGGCATAAAACGTCATAGTATAGTAAGGCATAAAACGTCATAGTATAGTAAGGCATAAAACGTCATAGTATAGTAAGGCATAAAACGTCATAGTATAGTAAGGCATAAAACGTCATAGTATAGTAAGGCATAAAACGTCATAGTATAGTAAGGCATAAAACGTCATAGTATAGTAAGGCATAAAACGTCATAGTATAGTAAGGCATAAAACGTCATAGTATAGTAAGGCATAAAACGTCATAGTATAGTAAGGCATAAAACGTCATAGTATAGTAAGGCATAAAACGTCATAGTATAGTAAGGCATAAAACGTCATAGTATAGTAAGGCATAAAACGTCATAGTATAGTAAGGCATAAAACGTCATAGTATAGTAAGGCATAAAACGTCATAGTATAGTAAGGCATAAAACGTCATAGTATAGTAAGGCATAAAACGTCATAGTATAGTAAGGCATAAAACGTCATAGTATAGTAAGGCATAAAACGTCATAGTATAGTAAGGCATAAAACGTCATAGTATAGTAAGGCATAAAACGTCATAGTATAGTAAGGCATAAAACGTCATAGTATAGTAAGGCATAAAACGTCATAGTATAGTAAGGCATAAAACGTCATAGTATAGTAAGGCATAAAACGTCATAGTATAGTAAGGCATAAAACGTCATAGTATAGTAAGGCATAAAACGTCATAGTATAGTAAGGCATAAAACGTCATAGTATAGTAAGGCATAAAAAATGTCAAAAAACATCATAGTATAGTAAGGCATAAAAACGTCATAGTATAGTAAGGCATACAAATGTCAAAAAATGTCATAGTATAGTAAGGTATAAAAATGTCATAGTATAGTAAGGCATAAAAATGTCAAAAAACGTCATAGTATAGTAAGGTATAAAAATGTCATAGTATAGTAAGGCATAAAAAATGTCAAAAAACATCATAGTATAGTAAGGCATAAAAAATGTCAAAAAACGTCATAGCATAGTAAGGCATAAAAATGTCAAAAAATGTCATAGTATAGTAAGGTACAAAAATGTCATAGTATAGTAAGGCATAAAAAATGTCAAAAAACGTCATAGTATAGTAAGGCATAAAATGTCAAAAAACGTTATAGTATAGTAAGTCATAAAAATGTCAAAAAACATCATAGTATAGTAAGGCATAAAATTGTCATAGCATAGTAAAGCATAAAATGTCAAAAAAATGTCATAGTATAGTAAGGCATAAAAACGACAAAAAACGGCATAGAATAGCTTTACTATATTTGTCTCTCTATCAAGAGTGATAATACCATATGTGCCATCTGTAAGAGGATATATTATTATGACATATATATATAGTCTGGATATATGAAGCTATGAGTTTAATGCAACTTTATTTTAACAACAGGTTATTAAAATTTCATGTTTGTATATGACCTTCTTAATAATTTCTTAAGAAATGAAACCATACACATATATCTCTTATATTTATATAATCAATACATACTGACAGGCTTTGGGATGGACAGATATTTAGGTAACATGTCCATAAAATAAACCCATCATATAAACAGAATTATTAAAATACATGTTTCTATTAGCTAGACATTTATGCCAATACATGATATTGTTCCAATTTCTAACAGGATTTACATGTAATTTTTCATATATAGGCTACACTGTATGTACATATAATTCATATATGGAAATTCAATACATGTACATGTACATATATTATTGCGTATGGGCATTTCTGAATGTAAAGTCAAAGTTTGGTTGACGGCATTAAAGGCATCTCCTCACCACTATCTCACTAGTAGCAGCAGAGGATTAATGCATATGAATGATCTTATCGCAGTAAATGAACAGAAAATATTTAAATTCCTTAATGTGGATCAGTTCATCGGGTCAGTATCTGGGCTGACTGGCTGTGATTTGACGGATCTAAGATGAAGTGTAGCTCTTGGACTTTGTGGAGAGAGTTTCGTACCTGGAACACGGCCCTGTGATCCTCCAGGACCTGCTCCTCCATCTCCACCAGCTGAGAGACGGCCTCATGGAAAGTGAAGAGCTGCGGGGAAACCTCCTCCTCCTGAAAGAGATCACGACCATGTCTGTTAGAACCAGTGACCCTGTGACCTGAGGGTCCGCAGCTTAGACTCCTTTAGTGCCAAATTCTCCACTTGTGATAATATTCCTGTCTGAGGGAACAAAGATACAAGTACTAAAAACTTTTAAACAACTTTTAAAGATCCTCAGTTGATGTGTTAAACTCAGACTCATGAAAGTTTCTGCAAAGTTCACCAGGTAAAATTTAAGACTCTTAATTTGCTTTTTAATACGACCTGGACTCCAGTTTAATCCTTGTTTAATGATCAGACTGGCTGCAGTATTAAGATATGATGGAAAACCAATAGAAATGATATGGCCTCGAGTTATTTATTATTATTATATCACATTTATTTTTCAGTATTTCCCAGCAGTAAATAAAAATGATCCCAAAACTACAAAACTACAGCTCCTGAGAAAACGTGGACGTGCAGCAGCGCTGGTAGTTAACGTCAATACAGTTTGGTTTCCTCCACATCCATAAAAAATACCAACACTTGTTCAACTTCCCGCTGTTTAAAAACGCCTAATGTTCAGACGTCTGTCGTGTTACTACAAACATGTCTGAACTAAAGGCCGGAGTTTTAGGTCTGAGCGTAGGTACAAATGTCAACGCGGCTCTCTGTAACGGCCAGTATGAACAGAAGCAGAACCAGTTGAAATGCACACGTGTGAATGTGAGTGTTGTTTTAAGACCAACGTGAACACGTGTGAGTGAATCTTACGTTCTGTTCACAGAGCAGCTTCAGGTCGTCTCTCTGTGGAGAGCTGCCGACTCCCCACTGAGCCTCCAGCACCTCCAGCTGGTTGACGTGTCCCCCCTGACGGCTCTCCATGGCTGCCGCCGGGTCCACTGTGAGCTCCTTCACCCTGACAACACAACAGTGCTGCTGGTTAACTAACTACTGCTCAAGTATCTGATGACCAACACATAGCTGCAGGCGGTTTATAAACACAAACATGTGGATGTGGCGACGCTCCGCATGCAGGGAGAGGAGGGGAAACTGTGGAGCATCAGTGTGGTGATGAAGAAACTGATGAACGTCACAGACTTCATGCAGGTTTTTAGGGAAATGAAGCCTGAAAAAAATAAAATATTGACTTCAACAAATGAATGGATGGTGGAGAAAATTAACAAAAGAATATGACAAAACGCAGAAGTTCCCTCTTCTACTAACACTGGGATTAAATATATATATTTCTGTATTAAAAATGGATCAAATAACGATATGAAAGTTGCAGTTGCATCATTATGCACATTGATCGAATGAAGGGCGACTTTAAATCCGGCCTGCAGTAAAAGAATAAGCCTGGTGACTTTCTATATTTTATTTATTGTCAATAAATCCCATGAAAAGACCAAAACCAACATGTGTTGATTTGTCTCTCAACACTTCCTGTCTGTGGCTCTCAAATCCGAGCTCATTGGTTCCTGACGTCATTTCCTCAACAGCTAGGAACAGCTGTAGTTTATAACGATCTTCGGTCAAACAGAAGGAAATGGTTCATTTGTCGGGGACGATTATTAAACTACAGTGTGTGTGTTTGTGGTGATGTCACCCAGAGCAGCACTGTGGCTCACTGATGTGTTCATGAAGCTCAGAGGAATAATACACAGTATATCAGGCTTTGGATTCACACAGAAGACTTGGTTGTTGGTTTTGGTTCTTTTCATGAGGTTTGTTGACAATTACAAAAATCTAGAAAATCAGTTTCATCCTTGATCTGCAATATGTTTTGACTGGGTAACTTCTGAGTGGACAGGAAGTGACAGAAAAATGGTTATTAATGGGTTAATAATGAGGATTTAACACCACGTGAAGACAAACTGTGAGGATGATGTAAAGTGATCGTACTCATAAGTCGGAGAGAGCTCAGAGCGACCCCCTCCTCCCCCGCTCTGGGTGAAGGGAATGTCTGAGGGACTTATCCCAAACTCCTTCACCCTGGAAACATGGTGGGAGAGAGAGAGAGAGACACACAAACACACACACACACACACACACACACACACACATCACCAAGAAAAAGAGACAGGAGAGGACGGCGGTGGGAAAAGTCCTCAGATCTTTTTACTGAAGTTAAAGCAGAAGTAAAAAACCCCGAGTGTGGAGAGAGTCTGTTTTACCTGTTGGCGTATCGCAGCGTGTTCAGGGTGTTTTCACAAGACGCCATTCCAGGAGAGATGGTGGCGATCTGCACAGGGAGACATTAGATCAGCACTTATGGAGACATCATCCTCGGCTGGTTCACGGCGCGGTAATACATGTGGTCGCGCCATTGGCTTTCTCACCATGCATGTTCTGGAGTTTTCTCCTATGAAGGAGTCCCTCAGCACTTGGGTCAACTTGCTGGCTCTGAAGGGAGTGTGGGGTTTGTTTCGGCCCAGGGCTCGAATGCACTCCTGCACAGAGACAAGGTGTCGGTTTCTGAACGCACAGACTTTGTTGATAAAAGTTTATCCATCATTTATCAAGAAAAAAAACTCCAAATATTCACTGGCTCCAGCTTCTCAAATGTGAGGATTTTTTTTTACTGTTCGTATCATATTAAATAAAATAAAAAAAACTTTGTATATTGTGACTGTTGGTTGGACAAAACAAGAATCTTGAAGAAGTCACAATTTTTTACAGTTATTTTTCACCATTTCTTGACATTTTATACGTTAAACAATGAATCAATAGTTCGATAAACTAAGGGAGAACAGAATTGACAATGGAAAGGCAGCAGATGATAAAATATGTAAATGAAAAATAAAAACAGAAACCAGTAGGAAAAGTGAGAGAATGAATTAAAAGCCAAGTTAAATAAATAGATTTTCAGCTGTTGTTTGCATTCTTTGTATGAAAAGTGCTCCACAAATAAAGTCTGATTGATTGATTGATTGATTGATTGATAATGATCTCTCGGGTGTGCGCTGCCGATATCTCAAGGACAGAAAAATCTATTTTCACATTAAGCAAGACTTTGCATATTTTCATTACTGTCTCTATTTAATGTGATTTCATAGATTCAAGGACGGATGTTAAATCTGTGATGTTTCCAGAAACCTGTCAGAACAAATTTCAAACTCATGTTTTGAGGCTAAAAAAACGTCAACAACATGAAAATCCTTGACTGTTGATGAAATGGAGCATCGATGCTCAGGAAACGTTAAGGACTGAAGGGAGACCTTGAGTGCCAGCAGGCTCTTGTTGATCTCGGCTCCTTCGAGGCGAGTCTGGCGGTCAGCGCTGGATGTGTCCGCCCCTCTCTCGTTCCCCGCCAGGTCGATGAGGGAAAACTTCCCGTGCATCTTCCCCCGTCGACGCAGGATGATCTGAAACACGGCGTGGCTCCGAGAGGAGTGAGCGTTGGCCGAGGTCTGTCCAGACGTCCTGAAGGGAGGCGCAGACAAAAAGAAGCACAAAGATTCATTTTTCAGGAGTATTTCTAACGTTCGTTCAGCTGCTCTCGCTTCTGATCATCTCCTGCGTTTTTTTACCTGCAGCTGTTTCCCACTTCGATGAGTTTGAGGACGTCCTCCGTGCACTTCACCTCCCGCTCCTGCAGCCCCACCACCTGCACCTGCTGCTTCCCGTCCTCCAGGACCCGTAACTTGGCTTTACGGTTTAGTAGATCGAACACCTGCGAGTGCAAACACACATTCACCTACTGAAGCAGCTCACATCATTTACTGCGCTTTTCTGTTGTTTAACACATAAAAACATCCTTACACCTGCAAACACCTACATTATAACGTGTTATAAACTATTTATCATGCTGCTTATGAATGATAAATCATAGGAATTTAAGGTTAAGTGTTAGCTACAAACTCAATAAATGACTAATCATGTGACGCGACGCTCACCTTCCCGCTGTAAATCTCAAAAAACGTGGCAAAGACTTGCAGATCCAACTTCTTGTAGTTTGGCTTCTTCAACATGAGAAAAACGTCTCTGGCTGCAGAGGGAGAGAAGAACAGACACTCAGTCAGATGTCAGAAAGCAGCGGTGGAGACGGAGGTGAAGAGGAAACTGACCGGACAGAGCGTAGATCCCTTTAGAGCAGTCCTGGTTCTTTCCTGAAAAGTCTCCGCCCATCGTCTGCGAGGAGATTCGACAGTCAGGACAGGAGGCGGGAAATAAAAACATAAACTCTAAAGACATTTGTGTCAAACGTCTTAAACTAGAGCTTTAAGAAATTAAATCTAAGAGGGAAGATCAAGGTAGAAAACTACAACTCCTGGACAACCTCCTCTGAGTTGTGCTTCTACTTTTACATTCAGACGAATCTTTTCTCTTTTTCAGCACGTACACATTTATTTTTTAATCAATTTTCACTTAATGTAAACATTTAATTGTTTTTTTATTTCCTTATTTCACTTTTCTTTCACTTGTTCCCCTTGAATTAATTTTCAAATCCCAATGACAATCCTTATACCGACATATCATATGTTTTTATAAATGTTTATTAATATTATCTTATAATTCTTTTCTACTATGAAAACGAGCACTGGTACAACAATTCAGCGTATGTATGATTTTCTTTGGCTCAATAAAACATATTTGAAAATAAGAATAATAATAAACTTAAAAACAAAATTTCATATCAATAAATCCAAATCCGTTCTAAGCCTTTGTTTGTATTTGAAAATGAAACCAAACAAACATTAAAACTGTTTTTAACTCAAAAAATAATTAAACTTTTGAAGAAACAAGAAAATTTTACAAAATCTGGAAAACTTTTTCACTTCAATTACATGAAATTATTATTATTTTCTCTTTAGTTTTTTTACTCTTATGGATGGACGTGTATATTAATATTATAATCAGCTGGGAAGCCTGTGGTTTCATGTGGGATCTAATATTGTTTTGCATTTATTAATAATTTCTTTTTTGTTTGATAGTTTGTCTGCACTAATGATTTCTCTGTCATATGAGAATATACTGAAAACAAAAAGCTCACATGTGTTTTCCCACTTCCAGTTTGTCCGTATGCGAAGCAGGTCGCCATCCCCCTCTCGAAAATGGTCTCGACCAGCGGCTGAGCGGTGAACCTGCGGGCGGAGCGGCGTTTAGCTTTGGCGGCAGGATTTCTCCTCAGATCGGTGCGGCGCGGGGGGGGAAGAAAACACGTTACCTGTAAACCATCTCGTTGGTGGAGTTCTCGTCGAAGGCGTAGTCGAATCGGAAAGTCTGGTTCTCCAGGTAACGCGTCAGGTCGACCTTCTGCTTGGGCTCGTGGACCATGACCACGTCCTTGCTGGGAATGGTGATCACGTCCAGATCCTTCACCGACACCTCTACTCACACAAACACACAGGAGGAATTTGTGTGATTAATGTGTGTGAGAAAGAAAACAGCTCTGAACACCAACAGTATGAAGCTACTCTTACCTTTTTTATTGAGGGGACGCGCACGTACACACACACATATCCTGTGCTCCTCGATCTGAAACATCAACACATAAACAAAAGAGAAATCATTGTTTATACTCGTGTCTAGCTTTCAGTCCTTCCTTCACTGAAGTGGAATATGTTTTTTATGGCTGCAAATATTCTACATGTTTCCCCAAAATTCAATCTGACATATTTGGTTTATTCGGAAACTTTAGGCTCTGATATAAAATGTTAAATAAGTTCATGTGAGTTTCAACAATGTTTGGCTGAACAGTGTTAGAAAACTCCACCACAAACTCAACACGTCTGATGCAGGTATATGAAATAACATGTCGACTTGATCGTCATCCAGACTCACCAGGTCGTTGGTGGTTAAAGGCCTGTAGTCCAGACTGGCTCTGAAGTCTCTGATCATACACATGATCTCATAGTTTGGTAAATTGACGTCCACCTCCTGCAGCGGGACAGAAAACAGATGACAGTGTCAGATGAAACATCCTCCCAGAAAGTCAGACAGTCAGTCAGTGCAACACTCTCCGTCTCTTTCTCTCCTCTCTAAAACAAAATGCCACTTCAAAGTAGCAGCAGGTTTCCAACATGAAAACACGACACAACAATCTGCAGGAAGTGATTGTGTTCTTAAAAAATATCTCAGGAAAGTTTCCAGCTCCTCAAAGAAAAGACTCGAATGGTTTTTATTTCATTATAAAGTCAAATCCTTTTTCCAAACTATGATTAATCATTCATGCTTTTCACAAGATCTGCAGCCGTGGTTTAATGAAACATCCAGAGAAACAGAAAAAATGATATTATTATACCATGTGTAGAACTGTACAGTTATTACATGGACCTGGATAAAACTAATGCAGCCTGGTACAACACTCAGGTGTTCACAGCTGTCTCACCTGAGCTCTCTTCTCTCTGAGCTCCTGCTGCTGAAGTCGTCTCTTCTCTCGTTTCTCCTGCAGTTTCTCCACCTCCTTCACACAGTTGGATTTCCTCCGCGCTGGAAGGGGAGGAGCCAAACAACCTCATTCAGCCAAATTGACCAATTACATTTTTCATAAACTCATCACAAATATATCGTTTGATTTTTTTTTAAAAAACAGGCTCCGTGATTCCCTGAAACAGCTGGACACTGTAGTTCAGGAAACAGAACATTTGTTGGGGACTATTTTCAGCGGCGGATTAATCTACATTTAGTAACTAAGTACATTTACTAAAGTGTTTTCATTTTACTACTTTATAATTACATGTGAGAGGGAAGCACTGGCGTCTTTACTCCACCATGTTTATCTGACAGCTGTAGTTTCTAAAGACTCTCAAACAGCTACAACATTAAAACGCTACTTATCCTTGAATGAATTAGACACAACAAATCAATAATACATAATAACACTGACAGGATCCGGTCTGCACAATGAGAACGTCTCCCTCTGATACTTTAAGTTCTGATAATACTTACATCCTTTTATACAAGTACAGTTTTGAATGCAGGGATTTTATTGTGACAGAGCGTCTGAAAGCTTCTTCTGCTGCTGGTGTTTAATAGTTTCGGGTCTTGGATACACAGACAGGGCTTGTTAGGATCAATACACCTTTTTCTTGACAGTAAAAACTTTAAACTAATCCTTTCATGTATCTTTAATATCTGATTTTATTTTCCACATTTATGCTAATTCCAACCGCCACAGCAGAAGACTAAAACAAGCGCTGCAGTATGAGCTGAAACCCAGAATCCAAAGCTTCAGTGAGAAGCAGTGAAAGAGCCTTTGAGGCCGTCACACACTCACAGCTGTGTGGGAGCGTGACATCACCGGCTCGGGTCGCGGCCTCGACGACACGCCTTCCACCACAAGACAACAACAGAGACACAAAACCGACGCACGTGGACTTGAGTTACGTCTGCCACAGAGACGGACTGTGTGTTACCGTTCTGCTGCTGCTGCTGGATCTGGGCCTGGGTGAGCGCCGGCTGGGGAGCGATGGCGGGCGGAGGGGGCTCGGCGGCTTGGCTGTGCTGGCTGGGACGGGCCCGGGTGGTTCCCACTGCTGCAGCTGAGGAGCACACAGTCCAGGATAATCACTCACTTTGTGCAAGAAAACAAACAGATTTTGCACTTGGCAGATAGTTTGGATTTTATTTAGGCCTGAAACTATTTGTCAATTAATCAAGGAGTTGATTTTTTTTCAATATTTTGTTTATTAGTTTTTGTACATTTTAAATTCACAGAGTAAACAGAACATTTAAACAGTCATTAAGACCCTCCCTCCCTCCCTCCCTCCCACCTCACATAACAACAAAGGTGTCTGTAAAATTAAAAATAAAACTTAAGAAACATAACTTTAAATATCGAGTTATACATTTAAGTTGAAGTGATTAGAGACAAGAATCAAAATAAGTTGAGTAATGTACACAAAGTAAAAATATACAAACAATGAAAAGAAGAACGAAAGAAAAAATAAAAAAATAAAAATATGACATAAATAAATAAATTACATACAAAGTAATATAAACCTACATATACACACATACACATATACATACATATATATACATATATACATGCAGACATATACATGCATAAATAAGTCAAATCATGGGGGGATTCAAATAATAATAAATAATAAAGTGCATGATCTGGTTTTCATCTTATTCTCTTTCCATGACAGAAAATGAATCAGTAACTAATTTTTATATCTGATAATGTAAATCATTGAGTTGCAGCCTCAGTTTTCATTACAACTATTAGAAACAATAAACCTGAACCTTTGACTCCAGGTCAAAGCTTGATAAAGAAGGAGGTTTATGCATTAAACTTAACTATAGATCATTGTAATTAACCATGTAAAATACACTGCAGGTGTGTTTTATCTGGACTGGACTCAGTCTTCACACGACCCTGACACATAACACGTTGTTTGAAAGTCTCCTGATTCTCTCTGTGCAAAGCAGATCCACATTTCACTGCATCAGCTGTTGACACAGAACTGGCTCAGACTTATTAACAGGAGAGCAAATAAAAACTGTTTTCCACAGCAAAGGTTCTGTTAGAGGTTCTCTTTCACTCATTCTTTACTCACTTTTTAGTTGTGATATTTAAAAGAGTTCCCTTTCAAAGGAGACCAGGGTTGTGACTGTAATCAAACCGGTTGAAGAACGGTAAGCTTTTTTTATTTTTGGATGTATTATTTTCGGGCTTCAGTGTCTGATAACGGATTAAAATATGCACAAGACTAAAAATAGTGTTGGTGTACAAGCGTCTCACATGCAGTTAGGAAGTTACGCGTCACTTTAAAAGCAACAGGTGGAGTGAGTCACCTCAGACTTTGTCTTTGTGGGTCAGTGCGTTTCTAGGTGTCAAACATACCTCGATTCTCCCGTGGAGCGTTCTCCGCCTTCGGTATCGCCGTGATCCGTCTGGTCTGAAAATAAAAAGCAAAAAAAGAAAAGAAAATGAAACTGTAAAGGAGTTAAAATTAGACCGAGTTCACAAACCAGTGTCTGTGAAGAAGACAAGATTAAAGGGGATTCGTGTGCGACAGTAGATATCCGTCACATCGGATAATTGTTGTTCCTGTTGTAAAAGTGCGTTAAAACCGCCTGTAAGTGCATTAACAGTGAAACCACTGGACTTTACTTAAAATACAGAATCTAGGTCAGAGAAAATGAGCTGAGACACATTTGAAAAACATGTTTACTTACAGTTTAAAGAGAAAACTCAATGATGATTTATACTAAGTCTTCTCTGCAAGTGGCCTCGTGTGATCAAATCTGTAATTACTCTTCCATCTCTAATAGTGAAATTACAATTATCTATTAATCAATTTAATAATCTGTCGTTTTGTAAATTTACCGTAATAACTTTTACAGAGCTCACAGCCGCTTCAGCTCGTGGAAACAAACTGAAAACAAATGATCGATTCTGATAGTCGATTAATCACAGAGCTTTAATCTTTAGAGCCAAGATGCTGAATATTTACTGGCTCCAGCTTCTCAAATGTGAAGATTTCTTTGTTTAATATCATTTTAAACTGCAGATCTTCTGGTTCTGGACTGTTGACTGGATGAAACTGATGTGAATCTGAATATGTCAGTTTTGGCTCCAGGAAAATGTGACGAACATTTTTCATTAAATTCTGACATTTAAAGGACAAAACGTTTAATTAAGAAAGTTATTGGCAGATGATTCGATGAATAGAAACGACCTTTCTTTGCCCTTACAGGAACTTTAACCTTTTTATACCTCGGCTAACAAGAAATCTCAGATCTGATTTGCTGGCATGTGTGATTGATCGCTGATTAACTGATTAGCTGGTGGTGAGGAGCAGACCTTGGTAACTTTGCTGGTTTTGGCAACGTTAGAGGGAGGGAGAGGAGCCTCAGGACTCTGTGGTATCTCTTCATCGGGAGCAACATCTGGATTCAGGGCGAAGATGCTCTCCAGGTCGATCTGAGGCAGAAACCAGAGACAGAGATGAGGAACTGCAGGAGTAACAGCACGAGTAAACAAACGTTAGCATGTGGTTCTGATACATTTTCCTCGACCCACTATGATCCAACACTGCTCTGTTACCAAGCCGACAACTGGCCGTTCCAGGCGGCTGCTCGGTGTGTTTGCTTTGGATCAGACATCTGAAATTATTCATGTGGAAATCACGTGTATTGGTAAATCTGCAGGACGGTCGTGCAGCTGATCTGATGTTTTGTGACGTGGCTGCAGCTTTTTATTCAGACGGGGTCCTGTGTTCTGCCACACCTCAAACTACAACTGTTGGATCAACAAGAAAGTTTTCTAAGACCTGGCAACCTTTTTTTCTGCTCTGAAAATGGGACAAATCGCTTTTAATGTGAATGATTTTACTTCTTTTTGTCCTTTTTCACAATATGTATCTGTTGGATGTTTGTGGGCTGGGTGGGTGTTTTGTTTTGGTGTCACACAAATTAATCTCCAGACACTTTTTAAACTGTGTAGAATAAATTCATAAGAGGATTTTTTTTTCTTGGAGGCTTAGAGGCAGAAAGTGCAGCTGTACCTCTTTCCCTTTGGTGTCCCCGTTCTCGATCCACTCCACCGTCACACTCTCATTGTCCTCGTGCAGTGATGTGACCATCGCCTGGTGTATTCGTCCTGCAGCAGGAGGTACAGAGAGAGGAGGTAAAGAGATGCTCGGCCTGCTCAGCCTCAGCACCTATAGGATGTATACAGTATGAGCCTGGACTCACATGCAATGAGCCACGAAGCAAACTCACAGTATCTCTAACTCAGAATTAACTCAGAATCTAACTAGATTTAAGCATGCAAAGATGTCAGCACCTCCTGTCTCCAGTCACAATATAAACACTAAAATAAGATGCTAATGGGTGTGGCTCATGAGGGAGGATGATGAACTTCAACAGCTGCATTTTACAGGCTGTTAACAGCATTTTTAGCAGCTAGTCAGTCGTTAAAAAAACAAAATCACACATTTGCAGCAGAAAATGACTTTTAAAATAAAAATAACAATAAAAAAGAAAGGCTGTTTTTTTTTTTTTTTTGTGCCAGTGAGCTGAGATGCAGTCAAGAGGGGAGAGGCCCCCATGCAGTCATCCATCCATCCACCCATCCATCCATCCATCAGCCCGGGATTCACAGGCCACTGCTGGGTGATGCAGTGCAGGGTCCCTCTCATGCTCTACAGGCGCCGTGCCGCAGAGGTGAGCGGAGGAGACCCGGCACAGCAGAGCAGGGCAGGTGGCTCTTTTTTCTTTTTTTTGTGGTGGCTGGACTCAGTCACAGCCGCACAGGTGGACGGACCCGCCCGGTGGACCTGTGTGTGTCTGTGTGACTGACAAGACGACAACGGCGTGGCAGAAACCCCCCCCTCCCCAACACACACACACACACATTTTCTGCCGTTAACGCGTCACTCGTTTGGTTTTAACGGTTAAAACCGCCGCGGAGAGGACGATGATGTAGCAGCATGCTAGCTAGCAGAAACACCCCGCTGCGGTGAGCGGTAACGTTAGCTCCGCTCATCCGGACCAGCCGGATGGAGAGCGGCGTCTGTGTCTGTGTGTGGACGTACCGTCGCTCCGCTTTATCTCCACGTAAATCCCCACGAAGATCTTCCCGAAAATCCCCGCCATCTCTCCCGCAGCGTGGGGGTTTGTTGTGTGTATGTGTGTGTGTGTGTGTGTTTGTGTATGTGTATGTGAAATGTGTGTGTGTGTATGCGTGTGTATGTGTGTGTGGCAGGGCCAGCGCAAGTTGAGTGTGCTGCTGCAGAAACTGAGGTCACTATCGGTCAGTCATAGGAGAGGAGAGGAGAGGAGAGGAGAGGCAGCCGCTGCGCATGCGTGGGTGGTGTCGCCCAGAACGCTTCAAAGCATCTTCTGACAAATTTTATCCACTAATTAAAAATGTAATGACTAAAATATTCCATGTGATCCAGAAAGTACGGAAGCGTAATGCATTCACCAAAAAAAATAAAATAAAAAATAAAAAAATATATATATATTTACCTACAAAAATATATACAAATAAATAAATATACATTTACCCAAGTATTATATACAATTCTGAGGTACTTGTATTTTAATTGAGTAATATTTCTACTCTATGAAGGGAAAACAAGTAAAGATCCAAACCGAGTATATGGCTGGACCACATCCGGTCAATGTAATTGAGGACTTAGTTGAAAACTGCATTTCTAGTTAATATTAATATTAAATCAACAACATGTGTATTTTATTCATCTTATCCACTCAGTGACTTGAGTGCTAACAGATAGCACTGCTAGATTTTCTCTTTATCATACCGCATATAAAAACATATTATTCTCTCTCTCTCTCTCTTTCTATATACAGTATATATATATATATGGTGATATGTATCATATCATTTATATTTACTGTAAAATAACTTGTTTTCTGTGAGGTGTTCACTGTGCACATACTGACACTGAGGAATCTGTGAATGTAGATTTTTATTGGGTGATCCTGAAGTATGAAACTCTCAAACTTTTAACTTGTAAAACATAATTTTTGTTTGAATGATCTTTGGAAATAAATCAGAATTGTAAAATAAACCCGTAAAATAAAGCGTCACCATGATTTTTGTCCATAACTTTAAGATGGAGAAAATGAACCAATCCATCACACTGAATGAGTTTCCTGTTACTTCAGGGGATGTGATGGATGTGGCCTGACGCCATCTGACTATGTTCCTTTGATTCAGTGGATCCATTTACACAACTATATAATTAATTCTCATATGAATACAGCTGCCGCATAACACATACTGTTTGTCCACTCAGAAAACAGGAGATGACTGAGCTCAACTCCTCTGACTGAACACAGGATGGCAGCAAAGACCAGCAGAGAATGATACACAACCTGGTTTATGGAGTGCATTTTACCCTCTAGGTTCCTACTGAGGGGATTCATCTTTATGAGACACAAAATTTATCATAAAACAAAAGCTCAGTAATTTTCCAAAACAACTGGATATTGTAGTTTTTAGCAAATGTTACTCAAACAGGAGGAAATGATGCATTTGTTTGGGATTATGTTCAACTGCAGAATATTACACATTTCTCAACAACTTTGAAATTGTCACATAAATGACCCCCCCCCCCTTTTAAGACACAAACACTACAGTCTGATTTAAGTGAGCTGACAGTTTCTTTATGTGGTTGTTGAATTTTAGATCAGTCCATAGCTACACCAAGATCACTGGCTTGATTTGTATCACGTGTCACGGATTCAAGGTGAGCACCGACTTTTAATCTCTCTTCTTCAGAGCACAGTAAAGCACAGAGAGTAAACACTGCCACCTGCTGGACTGGAACCATGGAAACAGATTTAATGTGTAGTTGAGAAGAACAAGAGTCCACACACACTTTTATCAAACTAACATTTTATTTGTATTGAAGGTTACAGAGCATCAGATTTGTTTTAAATCAAAATATCGAAATACTGAAAATCAAAATTTAAATATGAATTCAATGGTGTTTAACGGCCTGCAAATGTGGTTGGTCTCAGTTGTACAGGTAATATATGGCAACATTTCATGGAGTTCATTATGTCGACTAAGACGCATCGTTTCATTTATTTGGTAAGGCGTTATTTTACAGGTCCGTTATTATAAAGTTCTGAGACTGTTCATTTAGTTGGTTCAATTAGTTGATTTCATTTTATTTATTGACTTTCAGATAAATTCCCATTAAGAAATTTGCTCCATTTAAACCCCAGTGAATATTTATTCCTCACTCAAATATTATTAAAACTTTATTTTTAATTTATGCTGAATTCAATGTTTGTTTGCAGGCACATTTCACATTTTTGTTTTACCTGTAATTACTACAAAATTCTTTCCAGGAAACTTCTTAGGAGATTATTTGAAAAATAAATCAGAATTCAAGGACCTGTAAAATAAAGTGTCATCATGATTTTTGTCCATAACTCTGTTTAAATTGAACTAATTCAATGCCGCTGAATTAACTTCCCGTTACTTCAGGGGATGTGAAGGATGTGGCCTGACACCTTCTGACTATGTGCCTTTGACATGTTACTGATTCAGTGGATCCATTTACACAATTTTACAATTAATTCTCACATGAATACAGCTGTTGATGTCCCAATAACACATGTACTGTATGTCCATTCACACACAAACTCTCCTGGAACCCACACAGAAATATAATCACACATAAAACGGTGCCAAATTGGGACTTTTTTTTTTTCTTTTTTACCAGTTTCATTTCTCAAAGTCAGAATTAATTACATTCAGTGTGATTGCCTTGGTTTGTGAGTAATTTAGAGAATACTTAAAGATGAAAGAACACAGAAGTTCATTCTGCTGGCGAGGGAAGGGGAAGACGAGTCTATGATCGTTTTTTCCTGCTCTCAAAGTTTCTGAAGTTGGCTGGTCTAATCTTCATCTCTGCAAACTCAATTGAGTGTTCGTGGCCCTTCCAGTGGAACCAGTTGATCCCCTGTGGAAAAGCAGAACAGAAATCATGGGAAAATGCCTCAAATAGTGCAATATCCAACACACCAGAGCTGTCTCTCCCGACACCAAACATCCATCAGTTCATCAACATGGAGCTAATTCTTCTGGAAAAATCTGATTTTGTTTCTTTTGTTACACTGAAGCTGAAAAGTAAGCAGCAACACGGACGTCAGAAATGTTTGAAAGAGATTGGATCATTTGTTGTTGATCACTCAAATAGTTTTTGAAAATATCAGAAAATACATGTTTTCAAAACAACATTAGAATGAAGAAAATAAATGCGTCAACCAGACTGATGGACTCAATACGAATGAAGTTCCCAGACAGTTTTTCTTTTCTTTTCGTGTAACGTTGTTGAATCGTTTGCCAGTAAAGATGTAAGTGGAAAAAAGAATCTTTTCTTCTCAACAGTAAAGAAATAATCTGAACTTTTATGAAACATCTGTGAACTGTACGTACCTTACTGTGACTGTCATCACCGTATTTCCCCATGAGGTTGACACGATGACAATTTTTATACCAGAAAGCACCTTTGTAAGACAAGGCGCAGTTGGTGACAGCGACATCATTATCATTGTCATAGGTGGAGAATGGTCGACCCTGGTGGTACGTCATGGAGTCACCTGATGAAGATATTAATTGATTAGTAAAGCTCCCAAAACAAAGCTCATGGTTTGATGGAATAAAAAAAGAAGAAAAGAATCAGTGCCACTTTAATATCTGCGTTTAGTGTGAAGCTACAGACAATGAGCTTTGCAGAGCATGAAGGGGTTTGGCAACAATTAGTGTGCTATAGACAAACAAGGATATTTCTAATTGATCTTCTTTCCCCTTCGGAATAAACAGAAAGCAAAGCAGTCTCCTCCTTGCTCCACACAGATCTGATATTTTTGTCAGCTGCTGTTTCTCATCTCTTCAACTGACAATTAAGTCACATGACTCTTGTGCGTTAAAAGAGAGATGGTTGTAACACAGGTCAGTTGTAACACGTCCGAATTTCTCCAATCAAGAGCAAGTTACCAATCACCTGATTCACTGTGCACATGCTCAGTTTATTATTCCACAGCACACACAGCCGCACTGTTCCTTTACAGTAGTAACCTACCTGCTGTTCCACTATATGCTCCTATGTAGACTTTGTAGCGTGTTCTTGGCTCTGCGATCGTGAACTTGTCATACTGAGCGTAGGCCAACTCCCCCTTGTCCCTCATGTCCACTCGCAGCTCGTAATGGCCAGAGGATGTGATTTTATGGAGGTTGGAGAGACCTATAACCCAGATATAATATGTTTGAGTCACGAGAGAGGGGGAGAGAGAGAGAGAGAGGTGAAGGGAATAAGGCTGAAAGACAAGTGCTCTTACCCAGCCAGAACTCATCATTCATGCTACCGAAGCCAGCAGTGTAGTTCTTCCAGTTCCTGAAGAATTCCAGCTTTCCATTCTGGCGTCGGAGGAAAACCTGAGGAGGACTGACTTTCATGAGTGTCACAATAATCATAACGAGCACGGCCGAGGTCACTGAGGTGCTGCCTATCATTAGAAAAACAGGCGTTGCATCACCGCTATGATTATGTCCTATATAAAACGGCCTTTAATTGGATTCCAGCAGGTTGATTTCCCTCACCATCCATCCTCCGCCATCTGTGGTCATGTCACAGTAAACCCGGAGGGGCTGGCTCTCCTCTCCTCCCACATAGATGGTGAACACGCCAGAGGTGGTCTCTCCGTTCAGTAAAAGCTGAGCACAGTCCTTGGGGAGTCTGTACAACTGTCCGACTGAAAAGCACAAATTAAAAAGACATCATGGTAGAGGCCTCAGAGGAAACATCCTCACCCCTGTTATATAAACATATACAGTATCGTGTGAGAGGAAGGAGCTCGGAAAGAAAGAAGGTTGTGAAAGAGGAAAAAGACAAAAGGTTTTCCATCAGGAGCAGCTCCGGCAGGATGAAAAATAACTACAGGTGATGTGACTGGAATATCAGATTAAATGAAAGGAATTTGTATTTGAAGAAGTTAGATCCTTCTTGTGAGCATTTGGATTGTTGCGTAACCCGTCACAAGTTCCTTCCCTGGACTGTCTTTGTTGATTTCTAGGCACAAACAGTGGTGGAAAAAAGTACTAAAGTGAAGGTAAAGTAAAGCCAACAAATAACTCAAAAGAAAAGGACTCATTCTGCAGAAGAACAGTCTCTGTGACTGACACATTCTTAAGTATTACACTATTAGATGTCAATACTGACGCACCAACGTGTAAGCAGCATTTTACACCTGTAGCAGATGTGTTTGTGCATTATGTTTTCATGCTTACTGGTAGTGAAGACAGTGGATACATGCCGACTCCTCTGGGCTCCAGCCATGGCCTGCAGTCTGACGGTGTACTCTGTAGAGCCAGTTAGCTGAGCCATGCTGTAAGAGGAGGCTGTCGGGCTCAGCACCACTTCCTGGATCCATGCACAAAATATTAATAAAGAGCAGGAACATCTTGAAGATTTAACAAAATATATATAATTTGCATCATGGTATTTTGTAAGGAATAACATTTGTTTTTTATATTTAGTTTGACATTTCATGCCCTCAAAGTGTTGTGCTCATAGCTATGGTGATAGAAAAACAAACACAGAACACACACATGTAAAACAGATGATGCGAATTTGTCAGTTTCTTTGAAAAATTACTTTTCAATAGCAGTTTTTAGATGTCTGAGTTTCATTGCACCAATAAGGATGCTGGTGGATGGAAATGGTTCTCAGTAACAATGAGTTTACATAATCTGTGGTTTTTGGGTTTAAACAAGCAAAACCATCTTTGTCGTCATTGATTTTTAAGTGATGTGGGGACGAACGTACCCTGATTGTACCATCAGGCGAAGAGAAGGTGAGTGTGTAACCGGTGACAGCCGCCTGCGGAGGTTTCCATGTGAGAGAAGCACCGTCAGTTTGGATGTTAATAGCTGCCAGATCCCGAGGAGGGTCCACATCTGCAAATACAACATCACACTGTAGATTTATCATTCGATAAACCCACAGTAACAGATTGTTTTTTGGCTGTGTTGTGAACACAAGCAACATTATCATTAATTTGGAGTCCTGTTTCTGGCCACCTGATCAATATAATTACTCAATCTCCTTTCCCTCAGGAGCTGGTGTTTTGGTTTCCACCAGCTCCTGAGGGAAACATCACGGTCTTTAGCTGCTAAACGCTCCACTATGTTTAATAGCTAGTCTCTGACGATAGGAACTTTGCCTCAGATCATATCTATCCAGACAAGTTTCCTCTCTAGACCCACCAGTGGTGAATTCAGTAACAGCAGAGTCACTCTTCTCAGCTTCTTTCATGGCATGAACTCCAACTGTGTAGTGTGTTCCTGGAACCAGGGAGCCCATCTCAAACTCCACGGTGTTGCCAGAAACATGCTCCACCACTGGGGACACTGCAAGGCGGAGCACACCTGCCATCAGTTGATCAAATAACATGATCAAACGAAAGCAATCTTGTTTCACCGATTTATAAAAACTCACCTGAATCAGCAGAGTAGGTGATGACGTAGCCGTCGACAGTGGCCACAGACGGCTGCCACAGCAGCAGGGCTGAAGTATCGGTGACATTAACTGCAGTCAGACCCTGAGGTCTGTCCAAAGCTGGAGGACACAAAGGGAAATGTCTTCAATTCAGTCTCCTGTGAACTGACTCCAACATCAGCGTATGTGTGCAATAAGAAAACCAACCTGTGGTGACAGTGACAGTGGTGGGGTCACTTTCCTCCAGACCCTTCACAGCACTGACCGTCACTTGGTAGAACTTGCCGGGGATCATATTGGGCAGCAAAGCCTCGAACACAGCGCCATCCACAGTCACTAACATAGGGCTTCCTGTGGAAGACAGGGAACAAAATATGGGTGCTGCACTAAAAACATCTTATATTGTACATGTAAAAACTTTAAGTGCCTTTTTTAGAGGGTTGCTTCAGTGCATTTTCACTGCACTTTCCATAAGTGAGCTGTACTGTAGTTTCTAGTCTACTCATAGTTGTTATCTGTACTGTGCTGAGTGGTGACAAACTTCATCTTTGAAGTAACTAGAGAACAAAACAAAAAACTCATTGGGCTTCAACCTCTGTGAAACATGTGCTGCGTGTTAATTTGAATACTTCCAGATTCAACAGCTTTTGACAAGTACGACAACATGCAGTTCACGCAAGTACACGGATGGAGTCCTCAAAAAAATGTACTGCACACAGTTCTTAGTAATTCATGCACTCAAATGAACAATTTATGCTCTTGATCTGGCAGAAAGGCGTTTGAAGATACTGTGGATGTCATCATGATCTTAAAAACTAAAATTAGATTTTTTCCCTTTTCTCTATGACACCGTCCAGGCTCTATGGCGATCCATCCAACGGTTCAGATACTTAAGTATGGACTGACTGACGCTGCCACCCTGGAGCTACAACACTGCTAGCGTGGCAGGTTAATTAAACCCTAATTTAAATAGTTATAGACTTATAAACAAACTAAAATAAAACTGTCACACGCAATTAGCAGTGGGATAAATCATAAAAACACAGGGCATATAAATAGAACATTAAGACCAAAAGATAAAGGACAATAAGTGAATAAAAAACAAAACAGAAACAGTATGTTAGTAGGCAAAAAGTGAAAACTTCACCCTTTGGTGTGAGTGTTTGAATCTGTTTGTTCTGGCTAAAACAAGCCTGTAACAGAAACTGACTAAACTCCTACGTTTAACCCAGCAATAAGAAATGTAGTAACCTGGATTGACCTCTCACCTCCTTCAAAGGGCACATAGGTGATGCGGTAGGTATCCACCGGAGAGAGAGGCGTGGACCAGTGAACGAGGGCCGAAGAGTCGGTCACTTCGGAGAAGTGAACTCCTCTGGGATTGCTCAGGCCTAGCAAAGTGCAATTGGATATGTGCAGACAGGAAAGCAGGAAAAACAGGTGAATTAAAGTGAAGAAAATAACATTTCAAGGAAAGAAAGGGATCAAAATTAAACTCAAGACAAGGAGTTTCCCAACAGGTCATTTTCCATTAGAGACAGACATGGAGTTTAGCCTAAACCAGAGGGATAAAGATGATTAGAGACTGTGGGTTCAGTTCTCTGACAGCAGACTATACACACCCAAACCTCATTAAGTTTAGTAGTTAGAATAAAACTAAAAAAAAAAAATCTGTTTTTCATATACCTGTCTGAGCAACCCCAGTAATAGGTTGGGAACGTTGGTCCAATGAGACACCATAAAGCTCGATTTCATACTCAGTGCCACTCATGAGTCCAGTTAAAACCTTGGTCCGCTCGTCACCGCGGACGCTGTACTCTTGAGGATGGGCTAATCTTTTGCTGTCTCTTAGTTTAATCACAAATCTGTCAAACAGGTCTTCATCAGCCGTCCACGACAGACGGAAACCGTCGGCCGTGATGTCCGAGACAAAGAGATGCTCCACCTCCGGCTCAGCCTCTGGTTAGACAAGGAAACACAACGTTGCAGTAGGTTTTGCTGTTTTCCCCAGAAATATTCATCAAACTTCTGAGAGACGAAGAAGATCGGCAGTCAGGCAAGAAGGTTTCCAGGTGGCAGACAGGGTTATATTCCAGCCTGAAGGCCTTTTTGTCCACCACCTCCGATCTGGGCATGCTGAGGCGTCCGTTAGTGTAAATGAGTCAAAAAGACGGTGCAGGGACCACGTTTGGGGGAATTAAAAAGACGAGAGGTTTTTTTGTAGGTGTTTATTCATGTCAGTTAACAGGTTCGACAGGCTCTAACTGATCTGCTGGAAGGATTTCAGCAAACACCGGTTGAGACGAGGTTCCCATGCGTCCTCAAGGCCAGCCTCGATGCAGTCAGTGCATTCAAAGACGATGAAACAAATGAGATTAGAAGGTAAATCAACAGACATTTCATGCTCAGAATGTCTGCTGATTTATCAGTGTTTTCCTACTTCTGATAATTTAGTTTTCTTTTAGCCTGATTTTATAAACCAACGTGAAAGAGATGTAAAAAGGGATGAGAGAGATGTCCATAGACATGATACGATGATCATGTTGCTTCCACACACATCTGTGTTATTACCAAATCGAAATTCTGGAGGAAAACACATTTTAAAATATGAAAACAAACAAATATGCTTGCTCATATTTTGGAGGTAAAGAAGAAAACAGATGGGAGCTCCACATCTCATCCTCCCGGTGACGAAGCTGCATACCAAGAAAATATTTAAAACAAAGGAAGGGTGAGATCATTCTGGAAAAGAGTTGTGTCGTAAATCTGTGTTAGGGTTAGGTAACAGTACTGAGCTGAAGCCTCACCATCCAAACATGGCATTAACCAAAATCCATCAATCATCAGGCTATTTTGGTTTAAGGATATCTTTTATGAAAACTTCTATTTTTATAATAAAAAACAAAAACAAAACATGAATATCAGAATTATTCTATTTACAGACCAGCCAGGTTTTGATGGTGAAACTTCAGGATTGGATCTTATACACAGTAGCTGCAACAAAATAAGGAACTGCACTTTTTTTTTTTAGTAAGACGAGGGGCCTTGCAGTGCACTGAGTGGTACCTGTCACAGCCACTGTAGTCAGAGGCCGAGAGAGAAGCCCTGACTCTGACACCCCCGTCAGTCTGACCTCATATCCTATGCCGGTGATGAGGCCCCAGATGTCCAGGTGACTTTGGTTTCCTGGCACAGTGAACTCCTGAGGCTCCAGTAGCCAGCCAGAGTCTGTCACCACTATTTGAAAATGGCTGAAGCCAACACTATAGGGGGGTAAATCCTCCGGCTGCAGCTGCCGCTTCACCTCCCACGACACACGGAAGCCGTAAGGGGTTATGTTGGAAATGGTCAAGTTTTCCACTTTAGGCAAAGACGCTGGAGGGGAGTGGGTTTCACAGTTTTGTGAGAGGGAACAGATGTGGGAAAGGGAACAAGATTCCATTAGGAGCATCATGTGTGCAATGGTTGCAAAAGCAAATCAAAGAATCTGTTCTTCTAGTGAGGTATCTTTTTTTTTTCTCAAAGAGACTAAAAGTAGTCGTCAGCAGATTAAAAACAGAATATCTCCAGAATTTAAAGGCCACAACACATTAAGGGCAAACATGGCATGCACCACAGGGCTTCGTATTTCTACCGTAGACTGTCGAAAAACAGATGCTGTGTCTCTTTCCTCAAACAGAAGGTTTCTAAAGCTGCGTTTACGTTTTGAAGCTTGGATTTGAGCTTATTGTCTGGAGCCACGAAAACCAAAACATGAGTGAATGAGGATGTGATGAAACTTCACCTCTGGGACGTCTTACAGGGAGGCAAAAATGTTACCTACGACAATTAGAAGACATAACGTACATCACAAGATGCGAAGACAAAAGCGTCTTGCAGACGTTTGAGAGTGCGATTGACGGTTTCTGAATAGAAATCAACTCCGACATCTAGTGGCCATTAGTGGCACTGCTTCGTAACGCACTTCCTGCGTGGGCTTCAGCCTTTAGCTCACATTATCACCTGTTGTCTTTTGCTGACATTCCTACAGATAAACTCCAGACAACTCAAGTGTCAAGTCTGTTTGTGAAAGTAAAGTATAATCAATCAGCTCCTTTATCACACCGGGAGTACTAGCCAACTGACACTACAGCCAATATTCATACAATCAATTCCTAAGATGAAATAAATCTATATGAAAACTAACATTTTCTTCTATATAACATATAAAACAAAATATGAAAAGAATACAGGTTGTGCATGCTGATTTAACATCCATGTCTGACCTCTTTGGGGTTGATAAATCAAATGGTTTCAGCACCAAAAAAAAAGCAAAAGCTACGAGATTGTGATGAAATTAAAACCAATAAGTGGTTATGATGCAAGTCAAATTTGCTCTTAATGCATTTCAGATTTCAGAATATTCTGGTGTATTTACGCTGACAGCAGGAGAGTAATATCCCTAAAAGACACTAGAGTCCATCAAAAGATTTGATTTAAAACCTTTGAAAATTAAAAACAAAAGAAAACATGATAATAAGTTTTAAACATGAGTAAAATACGTAGTACCTGTGACGGCGTGGGCTAACACAGAGGGAGTGTGGCGCCCATGAGAAATACCATACAGTTCAATGTCATAGCCTGTGGCATCCATCAGGTTAGAGATCGTAATGTTACGGGCTTCACCGGGCAGTCTGAACTCCAGCGGATCAGACTGCTGCTCGGAGTCACTGACCCGGATAACAAAGCCATCAAAATGGCCCGACACAGTGCTCCAGTACACGCTGAGGTTATGCGGGCTCACAGACGAGGCAGCTATGGGCCCCAACTGTGGGACATCCTCTGAATAAAACAACAAGAACACGGCTTTTCAGTTATGTGCTGCTGAGAACTGCTGCGGAACAATGTGTTTGGTACATGCAGTGTCAAGAAATGCATGTAATGCGATACCTGTTGAAGCTACAGCGAATAGAGGCTGCGTGTTCTGGCCACCAGCGCTGGCGTACAGCTTTATGTTGTAGCTTGTGCTCGCTTTGAGCCCGGCCATGACTGTGGAGCGCACGTCTCCTGGCAGAGCGCGCCCCATTGCCTGCGAGGGCAAAGCAGACTCTCTGACTTCTACTATAAAGTTATCAAAAGCCTTCTCTCCTGTCCGCCATGACAGAGAGAATCTGTCTGAGGTAATGTTAGAAACAACTAGCCTGGATAAATCAGGCTCTTCAGCTACAGGGGAGAGAAAAATATGGTATATATTCATTTATTGCAATAGAAAGCATGTATTTCTCTTTATAAAAGTCCAGTGTATACATACAGGCCCAAGTCAACTTAACAATGCAGATAATAGCTGAAGAATATTTAAAAGCTAGTAATACATAACCCTATTCTTTGCAAGACTAATAATAAATACAGAGAATCAAAATACCTGTTGATGCAACAATACTGACAGCTCTCGTTCGGGATCCCTTGTACGTCCCATAGAGGTAGGCTATGTAATCAGTGCTGGGCCTGAGCCCTGTGATGTCGTGGGATTTAACATTGCGGGATATGTTATATTCCTTTGGCTCCATCAGCCAATCAGAATCAATAATCTCCAGGATAAAACCATCAAACTCTCCTTCAGTGGCGTTCCAGAGGATTGAAAAGCTCTCTGACGTTAAGTTTGAGATATATAGTTTGCCAACCAATGGCTGATTCACTAAAGAAAGAAACCATCATTAGATTTTCATCAAAACCATTTTGCAGAACACACATGTCCAACTTATATATATATATATACTGTATATATATGTGACTGGTAGCTGGTTGGTTTGATTTATCATATAAAGATGTGCAGTGTTACAGGACACTCACCACCACCAACTTCCAATCCCTGCTAGTCTGAGTAGCTTAATAAAAGATTAAATACATGCATAGGTTTTTGCATATGGAAAGTCCCCCACCATAGTTCACTTAGCAGCTTTAAAACCAATTAATCCTAATTGTTTTCTTAAAAAAAAAAAAAGAAAAAAGTAATGATAATAAGCTGGAGAAACATCTAAAGCCAAAGGGAAATACAAAAAGCCTTCATGGTGAAAAGCTGAAGAACACTGGCCTGCAAGTGTTGATCTTAATGTGAAATGTGGTTAAGGAATGAAGGAATATAAGAGGACTAAAGTCTTTTTCATGCATATGGAGCAAGATCAGATCATGCAGTTGATCTGTTAATATTGAATCAGGATCATTTTCTGCATAATGTTGCACCGGAGCAGTTCAAAGCAGAGTAGGACTGAAAGTTAAACTTAAAATAAAACATATTCTTACATGCGATGAAACCTACGTAGTTACAGGCAAACATGCAGTAGACAGTTTATTAGTCAGATGGAAAACAGAGTGGCGTTACTGTTAACCTCAGATTAAATCATTAGCATTTTACCTTGATAAGGACAAGAAGGTTTAATCATTTGCCACCTAGTAGTTCAAAAGGAAATGATGATGTTTACTTTGAAGTTCTGTGAAAATAAACTTTATCAGAATCCACAAAACTAAACTATCTCAGTGTCACTCACACAGACTAACAGAGCTCAGATGTCACTATAACTCACGCATACAGTGAGCACTTACACATCCACGGGCAAATGATCTTTCAAGGTTAATCAATTACACACTGAATGAGGGTTGATGGGATGAAATGAGATGATCACGCGGTCGCTATGTGACGGGCAAGGGAGGGTGAAAGTTATTGGTTTGCTTTTGCAATCATTGCAGCACATCAGCGTCAAACCTGACCACGATGCAGGGGAACTTAGAGGAGGAGGAGGAGGGGGGGGGGGACTTCATGCACTTTGGTAACTGGGATGGAGACAGCAGTCCAGAGTAAGGGTGAACATTTGAGGGGCGTTTGCTTGGCTCAGTGATGAGGCACGGGCGCACATCACCCTGCCCTCTCTCAGCTAGACAGAAACAGTGGCTGGAGGGTAAAGAATGGCTCATGGCATGTTGGTTAAGATGAAGCAGCTCAGTACACTGTGGCCAGGGTGATGGACATAGATCACAACACAGGAATTAGGTTATTATGTTGGTCTCGTTTCATGCAGCGAGGTGCCGACGCTCCACTGTGAGTGGGACAACAGAGGGTCTAGTATGTGTCTGTGTGCGCTTCACAGATACTGACTGAAATGGAAAGATAGTTAAAGAAAGTTAAAGAGTTGAGAGGACAAAACTCTGCAACACTGCAGGTCGCAGGTACCTGTGGTGGCTTCACTGTACACGGGTTCAACGAAGGAGCCCTGATACAGCCCATACAGGCCAACCATGTAGCTGGTGTTGGGATTGAGCCCGGAGATGCCCAGGCTGAAAGCGTCTCCGGACAGTGTCAGGTTCTGGCTCTCTGCGAAATTCTCCAAGTTTGTTACCTCAATGACAAAGCTGTCAAATTCCCCCCCCGTGGGGCTCCAGGACGCAGTGAAGCCGTCCCATGTAAAGTCAGAGATGGTGAGGTTCACCACCATGGGCTTCAGCTCCTCTGGTAGATAGACAGATCAGAGTGGGGTCAACTGAATGGCAAGATGGATTATAAAAATTACTCTCACATAATCGCACATTAAAACATCAGATTATCAGGGCCAGGCTTCAGGAAAAAAAAAAAAAAAAAAAAGAGAGATTTTGAAATTAAAATCAAACTATTACCAGAATAAATGTTAAGTTATGAGAAATAAATCATATTTTGGGGGAAAAAAGTTGATATTAAATTACTTTAAGATTGGAATATTATGACTTTTAGGTCATTTTTCAAATTATGACATGAAACATAAATCATTACAATTTTATTCTCAAGATATTATGACTTTTATTTTGACAAATATTGTGACTTTAATCTTTAATCTGTTAAACTTTGATCTTGTTGCATATTTAGTTTTGATATACTGTGTGTTTCATCTTGAAATATAAATGATTTAAACCTTGAAATATTCTCACTTCAAAAACATTTCTTTAAATATTTCAGCCAACATTATTCTGAAGATATTATGACATTCTGTCTCAAAATATTATGACTGATAACATTATTACATTATTAATAATAATATTACAATATATTCCTCAATATTGTGACTTTAATTTCAAAATCTCTCAGTTTTTTGTGGTCCTTACACGTTATCAGAAATCAGTCAGAGGTTTAAGCAAAAGAAAATATGGGATGAAATAAAACCATCTGGGGAAAAAATGTATGAATGTAATGATGATGATGATGATGATGATGATGGGTTGTGATGAATGCCTAAAAAAGAGAAATATTTGCTTCATGTACCTGTAGTGGCAAAAACTTTGAGAGGCAAAGATCGCTTCCCTTCCACCAGCCCTTGTAATGTAATATCATAGTCTGTAGAGGGCGACAAACCCTCTATTTCAGCCTTCCTCACACTTCCTGGTAATGCGGTCACACGAGCTTGTGTCACCCCTGATGGAGAACTGACCTCCACCACAAAGCTATCGAACGCCTCGTCAGGCGCCGACCAAGCCAAGCTTACTCTAGTGGAGGAAACGTTTGTGACTCTGAGGCTCCTCAGTGCATCCAGGTTTGAGCTCTCAGGCTCGGCCCCAGAGCTCATCACACCAGTGTCATTAGTGGGAGGAGGCTCAGTGTTTACAGGACGGAGGGTTTGAACTGTTTCGTTATCCAGAGCGGCAGAGTGTGGGCTTGTTGGGGCATCTTTGATGCTCAGCGTAAGAACATCTGGAGAGGTAGGCTTGGGTGCTACAGTAAATAAAAGCAGGTTAAAGTATGAATTTGTTACTGGCTCTGCTGATGAGTGGAAAAGAAACAACCTGTGAAGAAAAAACTGGGTTAAAAAAGAATACATGGTATAATTAAAATGAAATAATTCTGCACACAGTCCTGTCTTTGATCTACCGTATCCCTGTGAAGATTTCATAATTTTCTCTTGTTTCAAAAGTGGATTTATTATCCCTGTTTTTCAAGGACCACATGTTTTTTTATCCTCAAGCAACAGCTAAGGCATTAATGACACTTGAGCCAGTGCCATTAATTTTTGAAGGTTCTGAGTAGTCCACCTGAGTGGAAGTACACAGTTGTCTTCAAATGGATGAAGAAGCCATGCACAGCCATGTTTTTTCCCTCCTGACCTTAAGACAGACTGTTGAGTCACTTGTTTGACATGCGAGTGACGTACGGTGTCATTTTCTCCGCCTGCTACAGAATCATTTAATTAATGTAAATGGGACTGAAAACGATGAATGATGTGGATGGAATTAGTGGCGCAAGGCTTTCAGAGAGCCAAATGGTTGCATTTACAAGCTCAAATACAGGGAGAAATCAGAGCAGCTGATGTACTGTAGTCAATTGTACCCGAAGGAGAACATTGTGCTCACTGTTCATTTCTTTTTGCATTTGAATTTTGAGAAGCAACATTTTGCCACGGTTCTAAAGCCTTGGAGATGACAGATGGGATGAGGTCACATGGGTTTTGTTATGAAAATAAAATCATCTCTGTCGGGTTTGTCATCACACTGTGTCATGCTAAAGGTTATGCATAAGATGGAAAATATTTGTTGAAGGGAAATCTCGATGAGCATGCAAATCATGTGACTGCTCTGATCTAAGAAACTATCTCCTCTGAAAGGAGAGGCTGTTAAACACCAAGACAAAGTGTCTGTAATCAATATTCAGTCTAATAGAGAAGCTTATACCTGTGACTGCAACAGTGGCAAGGAGCGCAGATCTCTGGCTACTTGTGTTCCCATAAAGTTTTATTTGATACTCTGTTGATGCATTCAGGCCTTCGATTCTAGAGCCAGTGGCATCTCCAGGAAGTCGGACCTCTCTCACAGCCCATAATCGCTGAGTGTCTTTATACTCTACTGCAAAGTTATCATAAACGCTGTGAGCCTTTAGTCTCCACGAGATGTCAAATCCATCAGACGTGATGCCTGAAACGGTCAGCGTTCCAGGCTCGTCCTCAGGCGCCATCCCAGAGAACTGGGACTCAGAGGGGTCTAAATACGCAAAGCTAATGACATTGTCCTCCGAGCCTGTGGGAGTCGTTAGCTCACGGTCGTCTGAGTCAGCTAAATAAAATGTGAAAGTGGCTACAAGAAAAACAAAAAGGCACAAATCAAGAAAGCATCATTTAGGTTGTAAGGGCATCTCATTTTCTTCGTGATCGTTGCCTGGAGATTTATTTCCAGGCATCAAAACTCTATATCACTTACTTTAAAACCCAATGTTTAAAGTTTTAATCCTTAAGATTTCAATCCTGATAAATTTGTGGTTACTGGTGGCAACAGGAAGTGTGTAATACTGCAGCAAACACTCGTCGTCAGGGAAACAACAGAGGAGCAACTGGTGATCTGTTTACAGTGCAGCCAAACAAATTGTTTTTCTAATAAAGAAGTCAGTTACAAATAATTGATACCATGCTGCACAAGGTGTATATGACGTGGTCAGCTGTAACCTTGGTGACAATCACGCTGTGTTTCCTGTGGCTGCTTCACAATAGAAGCCGCTCTCTGTTTCACCAGAAGACTTTTAATGTGAAGCAGCCTGTCTGCATTAGTAATTTAATACAGCTGATATGGTGTTAGGAGAATCAACACTGAGGCTTTTATCACTAAAATAAAATGTAGTTTTGCTCTGAATCACTGGTGCTTAGGTAGGTAATGATTTACAATAAATAAATAATATCTATTTTCATGAAAATCTTAAGGATTACAACTTTAATGTTGCGATAAAGAATATAGACAATTATTGATATCTGCACTTTAAAACTTAAGTGAAAGGAAAAATGAACCTTTCCCCTGTATTAGAGCCATGAAGAAATTCTGAGGGACTTATTAAACATATTTTGCATGACAAACCTTTTTTGTTCTTACTAATTATTCTAAAATCAAACTGTGGCAAAGTTGTTCCCCACCCACCTGTGGATGCAGTTAGGGTGACAGGTGTGCTGCTCTTGTGTCCCCTCTCTGCAGTCAAAGTGTGAGTGTAACTCATTCCAGGAGTCAGGTTGGACACGACGTAGCTCGTCGCCGTGGCCGGGATCTCCACCTCCTCGACCTGGCCGTCCCTGGAGACGTACACCAGCCTGTAGCCGCTGACCTTGGCCCGAGGTTTCTGCCACCTCAGAGTGAGGGAAGTCTCTGTGGACTCGGCTTCCTCAAAATCTCTGGGAGGATCGATGTCTAACGGAAGAACGAGGAAGTAAAGGAAAAAAAAAAAGTAAATGTTTCACTCTAATTTAAGTCTTCACTTGTGTTGCATGTTCCACACAACTCATAAATCACTTTCCCCCATTAGTTTCATTTCATCACCCAAGTTGGACATCTGTGTATTTATGAAGGGGCGTGAAGGATGAGTGTTTGGACAGCTGCTCGGCAGCATCTCTCACCAGTTGCTGCATTTGTAGTAGCTGGGAGACTCTCCCTCTCATTCTTCACGGCCGTCACTCCGACCCCATACTCCGTCCCTGGCTTTAGCCCTGACGTACAGAGAGACAGAAGGAAAGTTAGCACTTGGAGGTTGTGTGTGGTCATATTTAATAAATGTTTGTCTGTTTAACCCTTACCAGTGATAGTAGCTTTTGTGGTGTCTCCTGGTCCTCGCGGGAACACTTCCTCGCCATGACTCGCTCCAGAGATGGGGCTGTACTTCACTCGATAGCTGCCAACATCGGCCTGACTGTTAGTCCACTCCACAGTGATGCTGTTGTCTGTCTGGGACACAGTCTGCAGGTTCTTGGGGGCATCCAGGGCTGAGATAAATATATTTATAATCATATCAGCTGCTGCTCACAAACCTTAAATCTACACACACACACACACTGAATGTGTACTGTGGTTTTTAGCAAATACTACTCAAACAGGAATAAACTGTGCATTTGTTTGGGACTATTTTAAGATGCAGATTAATACAGATTTGGCGCTCTAGTGAGTATTTCCAGCTGCAGGATGGTGTAGATAGTGTTTTTTGGAAAACAATGGAGCTCTATGGCTCAGAGGAATAACATATATTTTGGATGCACAGGTAAGTGGGATATATTTATTGCTGATTTTTGTCTTTTTAGTTTTGTTGACAAGAAAAATATAGAATATCCTTATCCTTCAACCTTCAGTATTTACAACATTTTGACAAAACATTGTGTGTGTAATGCACACTATACATATACATGCAGCTTTTAAATACATTAAAATATAAGGTGACGTTTTGCAGTTAGTGCGATCACAAGCCTACCTGTACTGAAAGTGGTGGTGACAGGGTCACTGGTGATGTCTCCGCGCCTGGAGATGAGCGACACCGTGTACTCGGTGTCTGGCCTCAGACTGTCGATGCTGTACTGCTTGTCTGGGGGGGAAATCTCCGCACTGTTTTCATCAGAGGGGTCGGAGGTGGGCCCGTAAAACATGGTGACTCTGTCCACAGGAGCCACTGGCTGAGACCAGCTCACCAGTGCCGAGGAGTCCGTCACATCCTTCACCTCCACCTGCCGGGGACCGTCAATCTCTGGGGAGGCGGGAGTTCAGGTGAGGGTGTCAAGGGTGGAGAATTGTTGAGTGGGACATTAAAGGAGACAAAATATGCATTAGAAATGATTCACTTCCCTTCACTGTCCAATAGATGGTGATCAAATTACTGACAGCGAATGGCTGGCTCGCTATAAAAATGACAAACGACTGTGAATATGATTGACTTCCAATCTTTGTGTTAAGCCGAGAGAAAATCTTATTATATATTATAATATATTTACCAAACAGACACGACAATGTTTATTCTCAGAAAGCAAATGGGCGAATTTCCCAAGAACGCTGTGCTATTGCTTTAAGTGTCTGCAAAGTTGGTCTCAACTGTATCAAAGATTTAACCTCTGTAGGAATAATTTAGCATCTGTTCAATTCACTAATTAATTAAGAAAAAGTCAAGCAAAGACCCAAATATCAGCTAACACAAGTCTGAGTCTAAAGTACAGGAGACTGTACATAAAACAGCACCTTGTAAAAATCAACTTGGCTCTCTCATAAGTTTGTTCGACACAGGAAAGGCTGATTCCTTTTCACTCTGACATCGTGTCTCCTACCTGACAAATCTCCTGTGTTTACATGTGTGGGAGACATCTTTTCTCTCTGTGCTAAAAGGACCTCTGAGGTTTAAGTGGTACGAAAGGTTTAACCTCACTTCTATCATTCATTTCTGGGAGCTGTGTCTAGTTTCAGCTTATACAAATAAATGACATCAGAAATGAAATGGTGCGATACCCAGGGAGTCCATCGACACAGACTTGTAAACTAAATGGCTTTTCCATGCACAAAGACGGTTGTTTGGCCTGGCGCGCCATGACGATTGCACAACTGGAAGGATTTCACAACATAACGTATGGAGTAACACGGTAATAAAAGTTTCAGTGTGCAGAGGACAAGAGCTAAGAGCAAGATTAAGTGAAAGTGAAAAAAACAGAAACAACTATTACATGGTCATCCCAGGCTGAGATTCAATTTGTTTGAGTTATTACGCTTTACCTAAAATCTGTTAGATGGAACTGTGGAGAGCCAGCGGGGATTTCCTGTTGTTACTCTTCTCTTCATTATGGAATTTCACTCTGACATTTATGTATTTTTTTTACTCTGCGCTCAAGTGACGTGGAGATTATTCGTACCAAACTAAACTGCTATCAGCTGCCAGACAGAGCAGGGAAATGACATAATCATGCTATCTTTGATTAGAGCTCCATCATCACGATGAGCTAGATAATCTGCGCGCTAAGTAAAGGTTTGTTTCCAGCCTGAAACTCACTGGTAGTGACTGTTTTGGATGTCTGGGGTCCTCTGGTGTTGTTCTTGATGATGTTGATGGAGACTTCATACTCCTGTCCTGGTCCAAGGCCTGGCTGGAGAAACTGGTTTTGCGAGGGTGGAAGTGTGCTCACGACTTTTCCATTTTCTTCTTTCTGCTCGGACACATAATGGATAAACTGATGTAAAACATCCTGTTAACTCCATCCACACAAGGTAGTCTTAATCATTCTACATTTCAGTTGAAAAGAGAAAGTTTTGTTAAGTTGTGATTTGTGATTAAGTTATTATCATTTAGTATTTTTCATAGAACAGGTTTCTCCAGCAGATCTCCACCTATGTTAATCTGTGTTCTCTTAAATGTTAAGTTTAAAGCTCCATGTTTTCTTCTTCTTCTGTGTTTTATTTGAAGTGTTGATCCATAAGAAGATATATTTGTGGTTTTAAGAACCAAAAAACTTCTCAGTGTAGTTTTAAGTGGTTATGATATGTTCGGCAATTCTTCTGAACAAAGCTTTATTATCTAGGACTCATACCATCACTGCCCTGACAGAGAACTGATACATAGTGAAGCACATCACAGAGACCATTATCAAAATTAACACAGAGGTCAGAAAAAGGACAAGATATTTAAAAACTCTGCAGAGGCTACAAAATTTTAAAAGGCCTGTCCAACTTATCAGCTGGCACTTTCATTTTATTCCTTTTCAAAGAGTTACTGGCTCAGATTCAGAGCAAAAGATTAACCCACAGCTCTATGACGTCCAGACTTGCCCACATTGAAGTTTTCCATATGTCAAAGCAATTTTAATGGTTGCCGTTGAAATAAATCTGTTTTGCTGACACTTCCAATAAGCTGGCATAGCTTATCACTTCTCGCCTTTTCCCTGTCAGTTAATAAAACCCTGGGCAGGCCTTCAAAAGGGATGTGCACACTGACCGTGTTGCGGAAATAGATCTCCCAGCCATCAAAGGGGATGTCCAGCTGGTCCCACGTTACCTCCACTGAGGTCTCTCTCACTGATTTGAACTTTAAACCCTCTGGCCGTGGAAGATCTGGAGGGATGCAAACAAAAATAATCAAAGTAGTTATTAACCTTTCTCTGTGGGTATCATCAGTCAACTAGCGTGGGAGATTTTTGAGGTACCTGTGGCCACCCTCACACTGACAGGGACGCTCCTCTTGTTGCTGAGAACAGCATGGACGCGAATCAAATACTCGATGCCAGGTTCGAGCTCTTTGACGGTGGCAGAGGTTTTGTCTCCAGTCACGGTGAACTCCTGGAGAAGACCACCGGGACTGGTGGGCACATACGTCACAAGGTATTCTGTCACCAACATCTCGTTGTTCCAGGACAGGTCCACTGTGTCCGAGGTGACCTCGCTGACAGTGAGGTCCTTTGGAGGAGACACTGGAAAAATTAAAGAAAAAAAAAAAAAAAGGAAAACTGAGGGTGGTGTCTTGGGCAGTTTCTCATACTCTCAGTCACTAAATATCCACCACAAGGAGCTAATACAACCTCCAGAGCCACATCTGGCTGTGGTGTGAAGAACTGCCAAAAAAGTGCGAACAAAGTACAGACAAGGGCAACACACAAACTGAAAACCTCTTTTATATTCACTCAAATTGTTTCTCAGGATGAGTGGTGAGTGAGTTTCGAGAATAGAAGGAAATTACATCACTCTGGATTTGCTTTTATAGTACATTTAGTTGACACATGGAAACTGTCAGAAACTATGAAGTGCCAAATCCTTTTCATGTGTATTTTTTTTTTGCACTGAACTGAAGAGAGCTTCTTACCTTCTGAGCAGTCCTCTCCGATGTACCCCTCATCACACACGCACTGACCATTCACGCAGCGGCCTTTGTCCTGGCAGTTGTTGAGGCAGCTCAGCTCTGCACAGCTCTCTCCCTCATACCCACTCTCACATGTGCACCTTCCACTGATGCAGCGCCCCCTGTTGTTGCAGTTGTCCGGACAGGCGAGCACAGAGCAGTCGTCTCCTGAGTAGCCTTCCTGACAGATGCACTTGCCGTCCTCACAGTAACCTCTGGCCAGGCAGTCGTTGGGACAAGCTTTCTGACTGCAGTCTTCCCCGGTGAAGCCTTCGTCACAAACACACTGTCCGTCGACACAGCGCCCGCGGTCCCTGCAGTTGTTAGGGCAGCTCAGTTCGCCGCAGTCCTCGCTGGTGAAGCCTGTGTGACACACGCAACGTCCATCGATACACTCCCCACGGCCGTAGCAGTTAGAGGGGCAGGTCCTGATGCTGCAGTCCTCCCCAGCGAATCCTTCCTCGCACACACACTGGCCATTGACACAGCGGCCTCTGTGCAGGCAGTTACTGGGACAGGAAAGCTCAGAGCAGTCGTCTCCCTGGAAACCGACATCGCACGCACACTGTCCATTTATGCACTGGCCTCTGTTGTTGCAGTTGTTCAGACATGCTAACTGGCTGCAGTCTTCACCCTGGTAGCCCGCGTCGCAGATACACATCCCATTGAAGCAGGTACCTCTGCCGTTACAGTCGTTGAGGCAGGTGAGCTGAGAGCAGTCCTCTCCGCTGTAGCCGGCAGTGCAGACACATTGGCCGTCAACACAGAAACCATTACCTTGGCAGTTGTTGGGACAGGTGCGTTCTCCGCAGTCCTCCCCGGTGAATCCCTCATCACAGAAGCAGGTGCCGTTCTCGCAGCGCCCGCGGTCGTAGCAGTCTTTGGGGCAGATGAGCTCGGAGCAGTCGAAGCCAGTCCAGGGTTCATCACACACACAGTCTCCGTCGTCACAGTGGCCGCGGCCCAGGCAGTTGTTGAGGCACTTGGTCTGAGAGCAGTCTTCGCCAAAGAAACCATCCGAGCAGACGCATACGCCGCCCACACACTGGCCATGATCTCCACAGTCCACAGGGCAGACCTCGAGTGTGCAGTCCTCTCCAGAGAAGCCTTTGAAGCACTCACACTTTCCGTCCACGCAGCGGCCCCGGTCCTGGCAGTTACCGGGACACTCTGGCTCAGTGCAGTTGGGTCCTTTCCAGCCAGGCTCACATACACAGCCACAGGTTTCAGCACTGAAGTTTCCATGACCGTTGCAGTAAGGTTTTGTTCCCACCTCACCTTTGATAAAAAGATAAAGAAATATTTTGATATTCATTTTCTCTGTTTTCTATTGGTTCGATAACAACTCTGTGGAATTATTTTTTTTTTTTTCTTGAAATACAAACAGCTTCTTCTTAGCAGTAGTTTGACATTTTGGGAAATCTTATTTGCTGCCTTGTTAAGATTTAGATGACATGATTGATACCACACTCCTGTCTGTGCACTTAATATCAAGCAACAGCTCGAAGATTGTTATCTTAACTCAACATAAAAACTGGAAATGGGGGGAGACAAATAGCCTGGCTCTGTCCAAAGGTAACAAGCTGAAGCTCATGAATTAACATGTTCTGTCTTGCTTCTTTAATCTGTACAAAAATACAAGTTTAAAAGCAAAAGTTTGTAGGTTTTTGGGGGGTTGTGTGCAGGATTGTTTCTTGGTTGCACATCATTTCTCTGTTTCCTTACTCTCGGCAAGGAAGCAAATAAGTATATTTCCAAAGATGTCAATCTACTCCTTTAAAGAGTGCATCATTCAGAAATGGTCCAAGCCATATTTTGGCAACGACTTAAGAAGACTCCTTACTTTCATTGATATTACAGCAACCGCATGTCATGTATTCTGAGCCAAATAAAGCCCCATTCAAATTCATTGGTAAGTTTTTGGTCTTTGCTGTATGACAGAGAAACTCACGCCCCCATATTGGATTCAAAAGAGCTCCCAGCAGATGAATGGAACAGATGTGCATTACACTGAAGGAGACTCATGGGGGTTGTGTATTATTCTTAATGGAGCACTTTTCAATGCAAAATCACTACTGCGGTGGCTGTAACACACAAATATGCCTGACAGACAAATCCCACCTACCTGTGACCTGTGCACTGCAGCAGGTCCCGTCACCGTTGCACTGATCCCTCAAAGCCGAAACCTCTCCCTCAAGCATCTCCAACCGGCTTAGGAGGTCTTTCAGGCCGGGTAGCTCGTCACTGCAGCCGCACGCCTGCCGAGGTATGTTGATGCGGTGGGTGAAGACGATCTGGTTCTCCCCATCGATGGTGTGGTCGGTGACTTGATGCCCCGAAGAGACGGGTGCGTCTTTGGGAAGGAGCTGCGTGCTCTCCGGGGCGTCCAGGTTGACTGAGCACAGGGAGCTGCTGGGAACATTGACGTTGTAGACGTGGTTGAAAACCACAGGGTGGTCTGCACTGGGAAGGGTGACGTTGTGTTCTTTAGGGGACACCAGAGTCTGTCGCCGATGCCGTAAGATTTTCTTCACAAGCCCAGCATTTGATAAGCTGAGCAGAGCAGCAGTCAGGACGAGGCCGCCCAGAAGGCCTCTTGTACCCATGCTAGGTGTGGGGTGTGGATTTAGTAAAATAAATATCAGTCTGAACCTCTGACTAAAGGCCAATCCTGGTTAGAGGTGAAGGTTCTGGAAAACAGACAGAAAACTCACAATATCAATGTAATGTTTAATGCTGAATATTCAACATTCAATAAAACACAATTATTATATAAGACAACAGCTTGAAAACCATCTTCTATCTGCACACACAGCTCACCAGCAGACCAGAGATACAAATAACAGCACCACAACAACGATACCCAAATAACTGACCTATTCCTTTAAGAATAAGAAAGTTAAAATGCTGAAAATTATCCACAATATATTTCATGATTATGACCAAGTCTCCTAAACCAGTGGTTTTTAATCTGTGGGGTCACAAAATAATAAATCTGTCCAGTTGAAAAATAATAAACAGCAGAGAAAGGCTTTTTCAGACTTTCCTCCAAACTTTTTTTGGATAATTTAACTCTTCAGCTCTCTGAGAACTATTCAAACCAAACAAAGGTTGGTTGAACTGCCCACAACTCACTGACATATGCATGGCTTACAGGATGGTTGAATAGCTCTCTCCTCACACCTTTCCTATTAAAGGCCGTCTGTGCATTCACACGGACTTCACGCCCTGATTGGTCAGCTGTATGGAGGTGAGAAAGGAGCCAGGGTTCTCCCTCAGCTCTTTATTCCGTCCTGACACAACGATTTCTGTCACTTTTCATGTGAACAACCGAGTGCGACACTGTGAATGACTTCCAGGAGAGAGTGTCTGAAATTGTGCGCCCATATTCAAACGGTATCCAACCCTCTATATAATGCAAACTCACAAACATGTTTGCCTTCCAGCGTGGTCTGAAGGAGCCTCTAAATCTGGCCTTAGAGTTTAAAGTGCTTCAGTGAATAACTGCAGAAAACTGCAGCTGCTATAAGAATTATTATCATGACACATCAGAAGTGAAGATATTAAAGCGTAAGATTAAATCCAGCAACTTTTTAGTCAGCAGTGATGGAGCTAAAGTAACCACTGCTCTGCTTATTGACCTACTTATTTGTTATATTTGCAGAAGTTATTAAAAGGTCAAAAGAAACATAGTTGTCCCTACATCAAATTTCATTTAAATTCCTTACTTGGAGAGTTAACCAGGGAGACAGCACACATACCAAACAATCCACAGTTGTGCTGGCACATCAAGTTTTTTCACAGCATTGTTACACATATTTGTAAATTTGTTTTGCATCTTACAGAATATTAATGGCAAAGACTCTCCAGTGTCTAAACATATAATGAGGTAAAATAATATGAAAACCTGAAAGAAATACACATAATTCATCCCATACACACACCACTCCTCCTCGCCCACACATCACTCAGATGACTTCATCAACTGGACATGAACAACACTATAATTTGCGGGAGACAAACTAGAACTAATGACAAGCTTCATCCTCAGCGTGGGAAAGCCTCCTCGGATTACTCACTGCTCAGTTTCCAAAGGATCTGGTTAAACACAGGATAGTGAAAATCAATACAAAGGGCCCACAGTGACTGAACTGACTAACAGTACTGGCTTCTTCCTCACTACTGGAAACATCTTGGCCTCAAAGACCTTTTGTATGATATAACAAAAGCAGTGATACTAAATTACCTACAACAGAAAAGCTTCATGGTAGAATTTGCAGGTGAATCTGTTTGCTGTCTGGCTGACGACAGTATCTTGTGTTGAACATCTCAACTTCAAACAGGCAGCAAATGTTGACCAGACAGGATGTGTGCCCTCTGGTTTACATGCTCATCTGCTGCTATGTCTGTGAGGAAGCAAACTACACTTCTATGGAGGAGCTGCATATCTGCCAGTGATGGAGGATCTGGTCCAGAGTTTTTGACTGGTAGCTGCTGAGAGCGCTTTGCACGTGCAAACAGATGAAAAACGACTTCCAGCAGGGGAATTGTTTCTGCAGTTATAGATATGAAAACGCATGTGGTGCATTTGGATTTCAGTTCTCATGAAGACTTCTGGAAAGTATTTGAGATACTCAGTAAAAGTAGCTCAACAAAGGCTCAGCAGAGTGTTTGTTGCATCTCAGTGTAACCATGACTATATTTATTTATTTCTATATTTATGACCATAGGGTAATTATCTATTTATTAATACTTATGTCATTTTTCGTCTTATACTTATGTATTTTAATATGAGGTGTGTTTGTATGGTTGCTATCTTGGCCAGATCTCTCTTATAAAAGATTTTTTTTTCTTTTAATCTCAATTGGACTTCCTGGTAAAAGGAAATAAATATAAATCTATAGTTGTCTCATGCCAGCCAAACACCATCGTTCCATTGTAGTTAAGCCAAAATTTAATGGATATAGTGTTTTATTTTCAATCTGTGGCATTTAATCAAACTGACACAACTTGTCTCGATGACGTGAACACAACTTAACACAGGAATCTTTCCATCCCAATGGATTTTCATCTAGAATATCAGAATCTCAGTAGACTTTTAAGTGACAAATTATACTTTGCATTGTTGCATTGTTGCTGTTGTTGCTAAGATTATTGACTGAGTGGTTCAGGATTAATGGGCAGGTCGAGCCGCTGTGTATTCACTTCTGTTCCAAATTATGAGGAGGACTCTGATGGATTTTCCAGTAAGGAATGCTTAAGATTTATACTTGGGAAAACCACTATAACAGATTAAGAAGAAGCAGGAATCAACAGACAGTGATATGACAAGTTGTGGGCTCTCAGCCACCGGTCTCTGAAAACAGCATGTGTCCTACAAGCTGACAGGAAATCTGGTGGTTTTATGCAGATCAGAGTTCATGACAACTTGATGTTGCCTTTTGCTTTCTGTTTTTTTTTTTTTTGCTTTTTTTGTTTGTTTTTTTATTCTATTACACTTGGATGAGAGGCAACATTATGTACTCCCCATATCAACTTGATGAGGATGAAAAACAGTCACCACTGTGCTTTTAAACTGCAGGGGTCGGTATGAAGGAAAGTCCCCTCTCATCATTCCTCTTTTCCTTCCTTTATTGTCGTGACCTTTGACCTCCCCTCTGACCTGACCTTTCCTTCTTCAAGTGCCCCTTGCCAGCGTTTATACACCCCTTAACGTAATCTGTTCAGGCGCAGATATTAAAACTGAGCTAGAGTTTCACGAGTTCTCGCACATCTGGTGAGTGGCGGGATAAAGGCAGGTTACGTCTGCTGTTGTAAATCTGAAAACTATGTCTCAAAATATGTTTCTGATCTCCCTGTAGAAAACTTTACAAGACGCAAAGACTGATAATTTGCAGTTTTGGAGGTGAAGAATGAATCCTTTAAAATCCTCAACATATCTGCTGCCATGCGTTTCAGGTGCTCTCGGTTCAAAAGATGTCTCAATGTAGCTATTGGTAAAATATGACTAATATTACTTTATTTAAAGGGTTCTGCAGTGTTCACCAAATCAAATTCAATTTTCATCACCTTTAACACCTTAAGATGTCATAATTCTACAAAGAATGACATAAAAAAACATATGTACACAAATTTAGTGATGTTTATGCCACCATTTCTGACAGAAATATATCTAATCAATTAATGTGACCTGGACCCATGTAAGTGGCAGAAAACTGCTGGGTGCACTAAGGTGACATTGGATTAACCAATTACAAAATAATTCATTTTTTCTGAAATTGATATTTGCCCACTATGAGACTATAAGCCTCTTAGCTCCTGTAGCTAACAGCAGCAACTGTGTTTGCTAAAGATTGGATTAAACAGCCTCCTACAGACAGCTACTAATGTTCCTGTGTAAAAAAAATAATTCACACTTTTAAAACCTCCTTTTTTATTTGAGGAAACTGAATTAAATGCTTCTTAAAACTTTTCTAAACCTGCAGATTTCCTGTTTATACACAGGTGATGTGATGGCTGCAGCCACTCATCTATATTCAATGAGAGCCGTGGTGCCCACAGTAAAAACGACAAGCAGAGCAGACCTAGGGGTTGACTGAGGACATGTCATTTGACTATGGGGGACGTGGGAAGACAATCTGGAGAGAAAATTGAAATAAATATAACCTGTTCACTAAGCTATAATCCAGAATTGCTGTAGCTTTAGAGCTCTTCCCCCATGCTGGCAGCAAGAGGGGAATTTTCCCACGTGGAAAAGAGAAACCGGGAATGTTGGCCCCGGACTGAGGACATCTGTTTTGTCAAAGAAGAAAAAAAAAGAAAAGAAAAAAAAACAAAAAACAGGCACCAAGGTACTTGTCCTGCGTCCAGACAACAGCTCAGTTACCTCAACCTTAAGTAAAACTGAAAGTACCGCTGCATACATTATTTAATGGTTAATTTGTCGTCTCTGATCGTCTCCGTCTGTGCAGTCACTCAGATGATGGACTGCTCCCGTCGTCTTCATTTCACTCTGTGATTCAAACCATCCACGTCCAAGAGAACAATACAAGCACAGCGTGTCTGGACACTCTGCTCATGGAAAGCATTTGTGGCCGACAGCAGCGTGTCAGGACTCTGGTCAGTGGTTTAACATTAAACCAGTGCATCTGCTTGTTTGTTCATCTGTGACATTTCAGGGTTTTTTTATTTTTTATTTTCCATGAATGGTATGAAAGTCTGATTCTCACAGCATCTGGAACAGCTGGAAACCCTCTCAAGAAAAAAAAAAAAAAAAAAAAAAGTTAATTGGAGCAGTTACCGTAACCGATACAACAATAACAGACATTGCAACACCTCATTAACATCAGATATCCTCAAGTGGTAGTTTAAGAATAATAAAGCTGCGCTGTATTGTGTCCCCAGGTGAATCTGAACAAGATGCAGACTTCAGTTCCAATTTCAAATATGCCCCAATTTAAGATAAGTAAGAAGTGATATGTTTTTCTTAGAGCTGAACCGATTAGATTAGAGACTATTTTCATAATCGTTCACACGTTTGAGTCATTTTTCAAGATAAAATGTCAAATAGTTGCTTGTTCCAGCTTCTAAACTGTGAGGATTTGCTGCTTTTCTTTACCATATCTGTCAGTAACCTGAATATCTTTGGATTTTGGACTGTTGGTTGGACTAAACAAGAA